AAGGTGTACAACTGTATGTGCTACTGTTTAATAACTAAACTTTATTTAGTTCTACATAGTAAGTATATATGTAGACAGCATCACCTTCTTCTTTAGAGAAAAAGAACCTGAAGAACAAGAAGTTAGGCAAGTTATCCTACATCAACAAAGAATAGAAGGCAAAAAATAGGATAATTACAACCCAGAAGTCTAATTTCAGCATCTCTGAATGTTGTACCCTGGGTACTCACTCGCCTCACCCTAATGCTGGCTCTAATCCAAGCTTCTCATCTAACCACACTGTTACTTCATCTACTTTCTATTTCATTTGCTCTTTGGGGAAGCTGAGTTCCCTAACAGCTTTTGGAAGCTCTGAAATGAAATTAGTTGTACACTTTATCCAGGAGCTAGATATGGAAGCAGGAAGAGTTGTTTAAATTTCTAGCCCAGCATACTGCTGAAGAATGGGCAGTTCACATTTTGATTCAAAAGTTAATTCTGATCATCCCTTGACAAGGGCATTTAGCTAGAAGATTGCAGAAATGGCAAAGTATACCTTTTACCTCATGGCACACCTAGGTTCACATTTCTACTACCTATTAGCCAAATGCTCTTGTCAAATGATACAAAGCAGGTAATTTTTCAATTTATAGTCTAGATATTGTTATCAGTGTATCAAGTATCAATGTATAATTAGAGTGTTTAGAAAAGTGGTTCTCAACTTGGGGTGATTTTGCTACTATTTCCTTAGGGAGATTAGCAACAGCATTTCTGAACACAACTAAAAGGTGCTCTACTGGCATCTAGTGAGCAGAAGTCACTTATCTGCTAACATCCTGTACGCAACTAACCAATCAATCCAACATGTCAAAAGCACCGAAGCTCAGGCACTATAAACTACAGACACACGGAACCTGCATTTTCAGCCTCATCTCTCTGATGAATCTATTTGATCAGCACAGAGGCAAAGGGATGTGGCTCAGCAGCAGAGCATTAGCCAGCATAAGGCTCTAGGTTTGAGCTCCAGCAATGGTGGGGGAAAAAGGTCATGGTTTATATTCAAGTTGTACTTGCTATTTTGATATAGGCAGGTCTGACATTGTTTTTAATCATTTAAGTTTTAGTTTTTACAAGTTTTTTGTTTGTTTGGGTTTTATTTTCGTTTCTTTCTTTGAGATAGCCTCACTAAATAGCCCTGACTGGCCTAGAACCATGCAGACTAGGTTGGCCTCAAATTTGTGCAGATTCTCCTACCTTCCCCTTCTTAGATGCTTATTATTCACTTTGAAGAGAATTTCTAGGGTTATTCCAATCCACAATCCACTTAAATGCAAGTTTACCAACTATATCTTGTGTCCTCCCCACCTCCCAAAGTTCACACATCAAAGTGAGCTCTTAACAATTCAGAAATGATCACAATAACTGGGCAGATTTTTTTTTAATCATGACATTTCCTGCAGTATCTAGTCATGCTTTAAATTACAGGCATTCTCACCATGCATCTCATTTCATAATCTAATTTGCCACTGTATCTGATAGCCTTAGGAACCTTTTGATAATCTGTTAAACAATTAAAAAAAGAGAAAGGCTAGCGCTAAATCAAAATCCATTATAAATCATAAAATACACAATGGATGTTTACTTTAACAAGAAAATCTGTGTAGCTCACTTCGGTAAGCACTAGCCACATGTAGTGATTTAAATTTAAATTAAGTAAAATTAAAAATGTATTCCTCAGTTCCTCTACTCACATCCCAAATACCTAAAAGCCACATGTGGCTAATGACTAGCATGCAGTGGACAACGGACACCAGAGCATTTACATCACTTGTAGAAAGCTGTTTCCTGGACAGGACTAGTGTCCAATCGTTAAATCTAGGGCACATTCTGAAAATTCTAATGAGGTCTTGAAAAAAATTAGTGCAGAGAATTAAGTTCAATCTGGTCTAACAGCTTTAACTCTTATTACAAACCAAGATGTAAGAGTATGCCCCACTTAACAACAACAAAAATAGCATTGTTAAGATTCTGGAGTCGCATCTGTCATTAACCAGTTCAGCTAACTATTTCACTGAGTGCCGGCCATATATGCCAGGTATTATGGTAGAAATTGAAGATGAAAAGTTGAATGAGTTACTTTCAAATGTAAAAAACATGCAAATGAAGATACTTGATTTTTCCAAGACAACCTCAGTTTCTCTGAAGAGAATGTCTTACAGCTTTGGGGACCAGTAGGAAGACTGAATTCTCCAGTCTGTCAACTTACAAAAGAAGAAAATAAAAATCCCAGATTGACCCCTACCATAAATCAATTGAAGTACTTAGGGCTCATTTCCACATCTACAGAAATTGCATCTTCTACATAAAGTCACAAAATGTAAGAACAACCACTGAGTGCAGCAAAGTGTAAAACATTCCCCAGTAAATGAAGGATCATGCTAAACATCTCTATTTACCCTTCATGTAACTTAGGTACTTTATGCTGTTCAATGCTGTTCCAACTCCTGTTTCAGAGGAGGTATTCTAAAACTTGCATCCTTAAGCATTAATAACACATTTCTCTCCCACTAGATATATTACTCATCTCACTGATATTACTAGATATTACTCATCTCCTTTAGCACACTGGCAAATTCTTACTGAATATTCTAGAAGTTGCCCATGGGTGCTTCAACATATTAAGACATATTTCATCTCCACAATGAAGTTCAGATTTGTTTCACTTAGAGTGAGTGCTAAATTCTAGCTTCCACATCTGAATGGAGAAGACCACAGCTAATGTTCCTAGCCATTTATTAGCTGTGATGAACACAGCTCTAAAGGAACTGCTCCCAATTTCTAAATCAACGGTACTATCTTCTGATCTTAGGTTCATTGTGTTTTTTAATTTACTATTTTGTGTATGGATGATGGAGAGGGTGCACATACCACGGCACATAGAGAACAACTTTAGGGAATCAGTTTCTGTTCCATTTCTCTCTTTTCAAAAACTACTCAAGACTTCAAAAAATTTTAGGTATTTTTAGTGTTATGAAGATTTTTAAATGAAATAAAGGTCTATGTTTACATAAATGACACCAATTTTTCCAGAATTAACAAAAAAAAAAAAAAAAAAAAGGTAGAAAGAAGCCAGATCTCCCATCTGCCTCTGCATTTTGCTACTGCTTTGGTTCAAGGGTAGAAAGAAAAACTTCTCTTACACTTACACAGTTGAAAAAGCAAAAGATATTTTAAAATATTTCTTAATAGTTCAGCAATATGCCGTGCGGTGGTGGCGCACGCCTTTAATCCCAGCACTCGGGAGGCAGAGCCAGGCGGATCTCTGTGAGTTCGAGGCCAGCCTGGGCTACCAAGTGAGTTCCAGGAAAGGCGCAAGGCTACACAGAGAAACCCTGTCTCGAAAAACCAAAAAAAAAAAAAAAAAAAAAAATTCAGCAATGTATCTCAACCTATATACCAATGAACTTTTCATATTTAATTAGAGTAATCTAATATGTCTTATACTTTGAATGGATCTTTCAACATGCATTGAAAATGAATTATGCACATCTTTCAAACGTTCACACATTTCCCTATACAACGAGTATACATCCTCTTTAAAATAGTCATCAGCAGAGTAAATATAACTAAAGCAAGCCTGCTGCTCTAAAAGAAAGGTACAGTAAATACTGTGCACACAGTGTGAGCTGAGCTGCTGGCTTCTCACTGGACTTTTGTATGTAAGCATGTGGAGCCACAGAAGGATGCTAAGCTTTCCTCCATCACTTTCCACCTTTGCTTGGAGACAGGTTTCAGGCTGGCCAGTGAGCTCCTGGGATCCAGATGTCTCCATCCCCCAAAACACTGGGGTGACAAGCACATGTGGCCATACCTGGCTTTTATGTGGCGCTGGAGATCTGAACTCTGGTCCTCTTAATTTCAGAGCAAGCACTCTTATTTAATGAGTCATTTCTCCAACCACACTGGATACAACTTTTAAAGAATGATAAATTGGCCGGGCGGTGGTGACACACACCTTTAATCCCAGCACTCGAGAGGCAGAGCCAAGTGGATCTCTGTGAGTTCGAGGCCAGCCTGGTATACAGAGTGAGATCCAAAACAGGCACCAAAGCTACACAGAGAAACCCTGTCTCAAAAACACCAAAATTAAATAAATATAAATAAATAAACTATGAAATTTTCAAACTTGGGTACTTACTTAGTCCAACCAGTACAAAAATACTCCAATTTCAATCATTCTGCACAAATCCTATCTTTTTAAAGTTTATTTTTATTATGTATCTAGGTATTTTGCCTGTATAAATGTCTGTGCACCACTTGTGCGCTGGTGCCTGTGAAGGCCAGAAGAGGGCATCTCCTGGGACTGTAGTTACAGACTATTATGAGCCACCACGTGGGTGCTAGGATTTGAAAACCCCAATTTCTCGGGGAAAAGCAGCCAGAGCTCTTAACCACTGGGCCATCTCTCCAGTCCCCCACACAAATGCCATTTTACAAATCTAAGTATTTCTGAAAAAATTTAAGAGGAAAACTAGCTCTCAATCTTTACAACATAATAAATGGAGCATTTAGTACCTACACAAAGGATTTAAGTCTAGTACTAAATTCTTTTATCAAGCATTTGTTCAATCCCTCCAACATAAACAAATCCTAGAATACAAATATAGTAAGATTATAAAAAAGTTAAAAAACTGTTACTGACATGTCAAGTAACTGGACCATAAAACACTGCATGTGAACAAGTATAGCCATTATTAGGCATTTTGATAGGTATTCTCTACACTTATTACATTAAATCCTGAGAACAACCATCTCCTAAGTCTAGGAAAGGAAGCTGAAATACAAGATCTCTGCCCACAGTCAGAATAGATGGCACAGCTGGGCTTAAAATGAACACCCTTCACTAGACTACAGCGTCTCTCCTTAACATCAAACATTCATCCTATAGAAAGTTACTTACTGGTGACTAAGGAAATAGGTTTTCCTTGAGGGTGATATTCTTTAAAAAGAAACAAACTCACAGTTTTTAGTTCCATCAGGACTTGTTCATCCACTCCATCATCCAGAAAGATGTCTCGGACATCATTAATAACATCTTCAATCACAGATCTATACAATTTAGGCTTTAAAGGAAAAATAAGATTCAATAAAAGACTGATTTCAAAAGTTTAGCAGCCTTTAAGAAATCCTTAATTAAATATCTGATCCTTAAATACAAGTCATTTGGTCAACTATCTAAAATTTACTTTAAATTGTGCCTTTAAAGATAGCAATCCTAAACCAGACTTATCACTTGGAAGGCACAGACAGGAAGATTTCAGAGTTCCAGGCCAGTCTAGTCTACATAGAGACCCTGTCTTAAAAATAAACAAACAAAAAAAACCATAAAACATATTTTGGTCTCATTAAACTAGGTTTGATAACTACATATTTTATAGTATAAGGCTATGCAATGGCGTTCATAAACCAAAATTTTTTATATACTGACAGTCCATACAAATCCCAGTTATAATTTCCTTGATTGTGAGCAAAATATCGAGCATCACGATTAATGATAGTTTATGGTCATGTCTGGTTCCTACTGCCCGTGCTTGTTTTAACCCCTGTCCCATCTCATAACCTTCCAATTCTTGGACTCTGAGGAACTTTTCCTTCACTAGTCATCTCCTGGTCATAACCAGCAGTCTAATTAGTATTTGATCTTATAAAATAACCCCTTTTTTCCCTGCCCTGGTTTGTACCTTTAAGCTATACCTCAACTATATATTGAATTGTGTAATTTGAAACTGGTAGGACAAATTTCCAGCAAACCAGATGTTTAAATGTTTCAGACATCAGTTACCCCAAAATCTTTTCCTTAGAGATTCAGACTTAGGTAAAAATCTGGTTTCACTGTGCTTGAAGGAAAAAGGGAAACGCTTACATTCTAACCTTCTCCTCAGCCAGTTTTTGTCTTCACTGTAGACAGTCATTTAGATTTGTCCTTTCAAAACACAATATTCCAAACTTTGAAACAGTAAATTGCAGGCCACGTGTGTGGCATTATCAAGTGATTCGCTGGAATTTCCTTTTAGAAAGTACTAATTTTCTGGCACAAAATTAAGTAAACTGGGTGGATTTTTACACTGGACCCCATGTTAACCGCAGATACAATTAAAACCACCACCTAATCTTTAATTCTTAAAATCCACTTTAGGCTATGCCTCTTCAAGTACTCTACATATCAATGCATTGTGGACATAAAGATCTCACAAGTCACAAGGGACCTCCCGTCACTACTTCTTTGAAAAGCTTCGTGCCTTGTGTATTTGTCTTAAGAAACGTTAGGAGCTGTATTTCTTAACATTTCCTGAATACTGATGAACAAAACATTACCAAACCAGGTCCTCTGCGGGAGAAACATTTAATGTACAATGTATTTTTTAAAGCCGAGAATGTCGAGGGTACCTCTTCAAGGAAAAAAAAAAAAAAAAAAAAGCATTCTATGTGATCTAAAATAATTTAAAATGAAATCCTATAACTAAAAGGGGGGGGGACCCAAAACGACGCAGCAATTCTGGCCTACTTCCCACTGCAAACAAAGGCAGCGTACCCTAGCTGTTACAGTAAACCACACTCGGATCTGCGAAAGCAGCCTCCCGGCTCGGAAGCGAAATTTCGGCGTGAAAGGAACCTAGAAATAAATTGAGCTCCGCACGCCGGCGCCTCTCGCCTCGGGAGCACGCACCTCCCAGCCCCGCGCTCGGCAGCTCTCACTATTTAAAGCCGGATCTGGTGTTTAAATGGAGAGGCGGTGACGTAGGCCTGAAAAGCACCTTCCCATCCTGGCAGAGTCTATATTAGAGAGCGGCAATGGCTCTATATAAACAGGGCAGCCACAAGGCGCAGGCACTGAAAAGCAGGGTAAGCGGCCGCAGCCATGATGGATCGACCCGAGTCGCCAACGGTACGGTGTCGGGCGGCTGCGGGCTGCTCTGCGGCGTTTGGGACCGGACAAAAAAAAAAAATAACACACCAAACAAAATAAATAAAAACAAAAAATGAAAACCACGTGTTTTATTGTTATAATAAAAAAAAATCAAGAGTCGGGGTGGCCTAGTGATCACATTGCGTTGGTGACTATTGAAAAGGTTATTTTTATGTGACTGCTTTTTGCAAACCTACGTGATCGCAAGTAACCAAAAAAGGGAGCAGCGGGAAGAAGTAGGCACATTTCAAGGCGAGTGCAGGGACACTTGGGCCACTCACTGTAAGGCTTTGTTTGTTCTGGTGCTTTTGCTAGTCGAAGATACCACCGGGGTTTTGCTTCCCCTTCGCCATTTTACCCACTGGGGAGGAACCGAGACAAGTGCTTTCCAACCTTTTTTTTTTTTTTTTTCTTGTCCTTTTTTTTTTCTTTTTGGAGGATTAGCAAAACCGGCCCCAGTGCAGGCTTTCCAAAGCACCTCCTCCAGAGAGAGAGAGCCCCCGAAGGCACGTCGGACCTTGGCAGCGTCCGAGCGGCTCCCCAGGCGCGGGGCTCGATCCGCGGCCGCACGGAAGGCTGGCCGGGTTCGGGTCCCGCGTGTGGGGTCGCCGCCCGCCTCTCCGCACCCTGGGGTCGGCAGTCAGGGCCCAACGGCCTGCGTGAGCCCGCCCCGCGGCGTTCCCGGCCCCGCCGCCCTCCGCCCGCCAGCCCTCGGCGAACACCCACCCACCCCCCCCCCTCGCCCGCCCGGCCCGGCCCGGCCCGGCCCGGCCAGGCCCGCGGCGGGCAGCGGCGGTGGAGGGCGGAGGGGGGAAACCGGGTCGGGAGCGCCGCCTCGCCCGGGCCCGCCCCCGCTCGCCCCGGCCGTTGCCTGCCGCCGGAACCTTCGCAGCCCCCGCCGGCCACCGCACCACGTCCTTACCACGGTGTTTGTGTTTGCCGAGTTCGCCATTTCCACACACAACACAAACAAGAAGGGAACGAGATTTAAAAGGAAAAAGAAAAAAAAAAAAAAAAAGGAAAAGGATTTAAAAAAAAAAAAAAAACTCAGACCCGGAGGGTGACGGACCCAAGTCACCCGCCAAAGCGTGGGGCAAAATGTTCTCGACAAAAACCGATCCCGAAGGAGTAAGAGGCGGGAGACCAGGAGGAGGGGGGCACTCCTCCCGCAGCTAAAAGCCTCGAGAATCGCCTTAAAGAAAAAAAAAAAAAAATCTTAAAAAAAAAAAAATACAAGCCACGACCCCTCGGGGAGGTGAGGGGGGGGGGAGGATGAGGGGGCGTCGCCCGCTCCCCACTCGGGCGCCGTGGAGGGAAACCCACACCGGTCACCGCTCCCAGCGCCGCCTCCTCCTCCGCCGCCGCCGCCGCTGCTGCCGCTGCCGCCACCGGCTGCAGCTCCAGCCGTCCGGTCCGCCTGCTTCTCCCCTTTATATAGCGAGCCAACAAGCTGCGCGAGCCGCCGCCGCCGCCGCCGCCGCCGCCGCCGCCGCCGCCGAGAGACAGGGCGGAGGGAGGGAGGGGCGGAAAGGGCGGGGGCCGCGGGGGGCGGGGCCGAGCGCGAGACACCGCGAGAGCCGCGTGCGCACGCGCGGCCGGGCGCGTCGCTGGCCCTGGAAGGGGGTGGGGTGGGCGTGGGGTGGGGGGCGTGGCCGTGGGGTGGGCGGGGCCGTGCGTGGGGGTGGGGTGGGTGGGGCTAGAGTAAAGAAGGCGCGCTGCCGCCGACGCGGTCGCCGCCGCCGCCGCCTTTTCCAAGTCTCGCGTGATCACGTGGCGGGCACACGGCTGGCGGGAGCGTTCCGGGGGTGGCGTGCCGGGAGGAGTTGACCGCCGGGGCGATGGAACTGGAGGACGCTGGTTATTTACGGACACCCCCCGCCCCCCCCCCGCCCCATCCCCAGCCACCACCACCACCCTCCCGGGTTCAAGGGTACCTAGCACGGCTTCGGGTGGGCGTCCGACCTCCCTGGTGGAGATGAGGCGTGGAGTAGCCTTGGGGGGGGGGGCGGGGAAGGGAGGTGGGGGTACGGGCTCTCCGGAGGGCTGCGGAGGGAGGGCACGTCACGTGGCCCGGTTTCCGGGCCCCCCCCCCCCCCGGCGCGCGCGCGCGCGCGCGGTCGGGGCTTGGGACAGTTTGAAATGCGGAGTCATCTTCTGATTCGCGAGCGGAGGTCAGACGGAGAGGAAGTTTCGCGCCTCTTGCCAAGGATAGACCTGGTAAAGTTTGTGTGTCGAAGTGGTGCTCGCCCTTCTCTACATTCCTGAGTTAGGAACTCCTGTCTCTACCGATGGAGGCTAATAACGTGGTTGGGATACAGGACCCCCCAAAGATTCAGCCTCCTACCATCTCGCATGATCTTTACATGACTTCTTAGGGTGGTAGAAAAATGACGAAAAAGAAAACGAAACTCGGATCCAACCACTAGATTGTGGACTACCCGGCGATTTTATTGCTTTTGTTTTGTAATGTTATCAAAGTACTGTGATTTGCACATTGGCCAGCGCATAGTGACTAACCACATCTGAAACCCATGCTCCTGACTCACCAACTTGCCTGGCCTGTCCCTTAAAAGAGTTGGTCGTTATCTTGGAGCGCAACTCATTAGCAGTTTGACCTGTGACATCCAAGCAAATCCTGCTTTTGCATCAGTGTTTTCACGGAATGTTCCGTAGGCAGGATTTACAGTGCCACTTTTCCTGGTCCTGGGGATTTGGGAACAACAAAAAAAACGTAATGTGGAAATGTGAAGTTTATATTCAAAAAGCAAATCCAAGCGAACAACGACATTCTATGCCAGTAAAGCCAGATATGTGAAATAGCAAAGACTAGCAGAACAAGGAGAGGATACAGCCTGTCTCCTACGACCTCGGGGAAGGAATTGGAAAAGACAGAAGGCCATGAATACTGAGAAACTGAACTATAAAAGGGTCTCAGCCAGGCAGTGGTGGTGCACGCCTGTAATCCCAGCACTCGGGAGGCAGAGCCAGGTGGATCTCTGTGAGTTCGAGGCTAACCTGGAATAGAGTGAGTTCCAGGAAAGGTGCAAAACTACACTAGAGAAACCGTGTCTCGAAAAACCAAAAAAAAAAAAAGTCGAGAGGTTTCTCTTGGATTTGTTCGTTGTTGGTTTTGAGATTTGGGCTTTTTTGTTTTGTTTTTTTGCTTTTGGGTTTGTTTTTCTTTTTTGTTTTTGAGACAAGGTTTCTCTGTGTAGCCCTGGCTGTTCTGGATTCCCTTTGTAGACCAGGCTGGCCTCAAAACTCAGAAAGCCATCTGCCTCTGCATGGACTAAAGGCATGTGTGGGGTTTCAACACCAGCTCCATTCTCTGCTTTAACATTTTGAGTCAAGGTCTACATAGCAAGTTTCAGGACAGTCAAGACTGCATAGCGAGCTTTTTAGATCAGGCTGGCCTTGAACTCACAGAGGTCCTCCTCCCTCTGCCTTTTAGTGTGCTTGGAATTAAAGGCATGTACCACTCCGGTGGGCCAATAAGTGGCTCAGCAGTTTCCTGCACAGGCTTGTCTGGTCTGGAGCACTTTAAAATAATTAACAGGACATAAGTATTCTTGGTATATGAAACTGATTCAACCAACATTCTGAACGTATTTAACATTTAGGTAACAATTAGTCTGAAAACTGAGGAGGCCGATTCCTAGTGAGTCTCCCTGTTACTTTGAAAACCTGTGTGCATACATACTAGGTACTTTTTGCACCTAGCTTTTCTTCCTGCCACTTGGTATTTGTAACTAAGTGATCAGGTGTTTTGCCATCAGTTAAGGTTAAGACCACTGAAGACAGAACATGGAAGCTAATTCATAAACTTCCTTCTACAGAATTAATCTTCATAGGGGATTAATGAGATCTATGTTGTTAGGTCTGATTTATGAAATCAGTGTTAATTGGATTTTTTTGTTTTTGTTTTTTTGTTTTTCAAGACAGGGTTTCTCTGTATAGTTTTGGTGCCTGTCCTAGATCTCACTGTGTAGACCAGGCTGACCTTGAACTCACAGATCCGTCTGGCTCTGCCTCCCGAGTACTAGGATTCAAGGAGTGCACCACCACTGCCCCACTGATTTTTTTTTTTTTTAAGGATTCTTTTAAGGTCTTGAGAGATGACTCAGCAGTTCAGAGTACTTGCTAGTCTTCCAGAGAACAATTTGTTTCCCAGCACCCACATCAGGAGACTTTACAACCACTACTGCTCCATCTCTTTTAGTACCTGCACACAAGGGGTAAACACACATATATATGTAAATAAAAATAAATTGTCAGCCGGGCGGTGGTGGCGCACACCTTTAATCCCAGCACTCGGGAGGCAGAGCCAGGCGGATCTCTGTGAGTTCGAGGCCAGCCTGGGCTACCAAGTGAGTCCCAGGAAAGGCGCAAAGCTACACAGAGAAACCCTGTCTCGAAAAACAAAAAAAATAAATAAATAAATTGTCTTAGAAAAAGATAATACCACTAGACTACTTACTGGCTCTAAGTTCTCTGTACAGTCTAGATTGCAACAATGCCTAGTACTTAATATTTTCCCAAGATGCTTCCCCTCTCCAGGGCCCATGTGCCTAACTTCTAAACACCTACCTTGGATTCTGTATTGTTTCTAATTCTTCATTTAGCTGTAATACCCTTTCAGTCACAGTCTGTGTGTGTGTCAGCAAGTTTGAGGTATTTTCTGATCTTGTATCAAAATTCTGGAACTTGGACTGGACAGTAATGGCACATGCCTTTAATCTCAGCACTCAGGAGGCAGAGACAGATGGATTTCTGTGAGTTCTGAGACCAGCCTGCTCTACATAGTGAGTTTTAGGACAGCCAAGGCTATCTAGAGAAACCCTGTCTCAAAAAACATCAATAAGCCGGGCGGTGGTGGTGCACGCCTTTAATCCCGGCACTGGGAGGCAGAGCCAGGCGGATCTCTGTGAGTTCAAGGCCAGCCTGGGCTACCAAGTGAGTTCCAGGAAAGGCGCAAAGCTACACAGAGAAACCCTGTCTCGAAAAACCAAAAAAAAAAAAAAAAAAAATCAATAAAATTAAAATTTTGGAACCTCTAGCCCTTTAATTTATAAAACAAAGACTGTAGCCAGGAATCACTCAAGCAAAACAGCATCATTTTTAATTTATTTTTTAATGTATGTAGACACATAATAGTGCTTTTTTTTTTGTAATGAGTATCTTTCTCTAACTTCAAAATGTTTTATATAGGCTGATAAAAAAAAATACTTGCATAAATGGATCTCCTGGGGAAGAGAAAATAGAAGAGATCTCATGTCCCAACTCACCAACTTGCCTGGCCAGTCACTTAAAAGAGATCAGGCAGAGTTTGTCGGTATCTCGGGGTACAACTTACTAACAGTTTGACCTGTGACATTCAAGCAA